TGGAGGGGTGAATTCTCTGATAGAAGCAGAATACAACCCAACTCAGTTTTTTATTTGGCTTTGCTGCATCACATAGCAGCTTAACATACAGAATACTAAATGGTTTTCACCAAATGCATCAACCACTTCTACAATAACTCAAAACATATCCCTTAAATCAAGGATAAAGACTTCTACCTAAAACATTGACTAAATGTAACCATTCCCCATGCTGTCCATTTTCTACTGTCGTTTTTATTATTTTGCTGTCATGTTGTAATTTCCACATGCAGTTCACATTTGCTTTTCATTTTTTGTTGGGAGTATAATTCATGAGTGAGTTGAGAGAATTGCATAAGATTTCATGTGAAAAAAAATAATAATAAGGTGTAAGAATAGAATATATAGGTGGATGGCTTATAAACTCAATAAATATGTTTTTTAAATTTGGTATAATGTTTTCTCATATGTGTTCGTACTCTTTTATATATATATATACTTCGAAGTTTCAAACTACCCTTTACCTGACCTTTCGGGTCAAGTGATTTTCGGATCACTTTGAAGGTGCAGTTCCTCTCCCATTGATAAATTCGAAGTTCAAATCCCACCATTGACACTTTGTTCAAAAAAAAAAAAAAAGAAAAAGTTCCAAACTACCCCGTTACACTCTCCCAACACTTTCATAGCATTTGCATTGCTTTTGCAGCCTTCATTTTTCTGCCCTCGTGCCACAGCTTCTTTGACTTCCATTTAATGGGTTCTATGCCATCTGATTTCAGCTTTCGTTATATGTATCAGCTGCAGCATTAAATGTAGGAGATGTGAATTTGAGACTAACACTGACATGTTTTGGTTGAATTCATCGGCAAATACATTAATTACTCTTGCAATGTTTTTATTATCATCTGATATCACACATTCCACGAGATATTTGCATAAAGAAAGACTAATTTAATGTACCAAAAAAAGAGAAAGACTAATTCAATGATGGACAACCACAATTGAACAGAGAAGAGTTTTCCAAGGAGAAAATTAAAGGGGAGGCAGACAATGGAGAGAATCATTCACCCATTTACTAAATTTTAGCCATTAAACCAAAGCAGAATCCACAATCAACGGATTGAGGCCATTTAAGACCAACAAAGCAGCTAAATTTTATTTTCCAACCAATCGTATCAGTAAGAAGCTAGACCACTCCACTCCACTCACACACAGACATGCTGCTTTTGCCTAAAGTCAAGGATGCACGCACCTTTCTTCATGGATTCTGCTTGATTACTCCAACC